TTGGTGCCAATATATGGAAGGATTCTGTTCCAGACTGCAATTGTCTTTGGTCGAGGATCAGACTCTAGCACGGGATCGGGAACGTTGGAAGCTGTCTGACGCATCTGCCTCCGCGGCCCGAAAGGAGAAGCGGCGATAGAAGATGAAGTATTAAGTAGAACTTTTGATGAAATGACTTTTCCGATACCTTCCGACGATCCTCGGAACGCTTCTGCGACTGTCATTTTGCTCGCGACCCGGATATGAGAACCATTGCCCTAAACTTATAAATTTGCCCTGTCTTCAAGAAGGGCCACCTTATGCTGCTGAATAGTTGGCAACTGAGATAAAAACATTTTTGTGATCAATTCAAACTTGCGCTCAAGAAATTACTGAATCAAAAGAAACACAGTACGTAAAAGATCTGAACAAATCTTGATCATATAGGATTTTAAATATAACTGAAGTATACAATTAACATTTATTCTACTTCGATTCATTTGTCTAAATGAGAAACGCATCCGACTCTGTAGATAGAGAATAATGCTCACAGTCACTTAGCAGGAGAGTAAATTTCATGCCGAAACACCGACAAGAGATTCCACAAGAAAGTGTCGCCTTAAGAATCTTCAGTATTTCGAATACTGGCAAATCTTTTACAAGTGAATAATTATGTCCTCGATTTTTTATTTCATTTTTTATGACATTCATCTTCTTTAACTATTTTCCATTGTTTACATTGTATTTCCTCGTCACAATACTTCAATCGCTTATCTGTTGATCAGTTATCCACTAAAATTATATTTTCTCTGTACATTATCAATTTACAGTGACGAAAGAATATCGTCGTGGTTTCCAAAAGCTTAATTTAAGAAGTACACTTTTTAGTGCTTCTAACCGTCTCTTTCTTAATTATTGACAGTCTGCTTATGCCTTTTCGAACTGAGTATAGTCCAATAAAATAGAGGTTTCGAAAATGAACGGTGACCTTACCTCCCATGCCGCAAAACGATTGCGTACCGAGATGCAATTCTTCTTACTGTCGCCTGAACCGTGCTGGCTGACTTCTGCTTCAGAATTTACACAGAAGCGACAGTGTTCTGAAAATCCGGTGCTGCAAGGACAGCGCCAAGATGAGCACGCGGCCGCTATTCGTCCCATTCGAGCATCCTCATAGCACAAATAATCGACGAAACTGTACTGAAGCGACGGGTCGTCTAGAAATTCACCACATTAGCATACAAAGCAAATGCGATACAAAGCAAAGTAGTTCAAAATACACCAATTCACAACTCATCGCAAATTTACAACTATCTGCCTGTCCAGTCTGACAACTACTGCTCACACCGGTCTTCTCAAATTTACTAGATCTACTGACAATGGATAAAGCAGCGGGGAACGCAACGTAAAGCCATCACATCCTACATCAAATCTGTGCTACAACTGATTGTCTGACCAGACAATTACCAGATTGTTAAGCCTAAGAATAAGCACTGGAATAAAGTCGTAAACCACTGTTCGCCTTTGTTTATTTATTGCTACTTGAATAAGATGCCTGTTTCAGGCATTCAAGCAGCTCAACATGATTCCAAACAATGCACAAAGCATGAAAATGACTGGTAGACATGGGAAACCGGATAGTATACTACATACGAGCATAAAACATTGCATAAGATACGTAAAAAGTATAAGTGCAAGATATATAGAATCATGTAAAGGAGAAACAGCTAAGAAACCGAACGGCATCGAACAGAATGTAACAAACAAAAAAACAACAAACTAAATTTAATGAAATCTAAAAAGAGAATCGTACTGCAAACCGAAAGGGTCAACAGGTGTCTCTTTCAACCTTTTCGGTCACTTACTCTAAAGCAAGCATATACATAGAGAAGAAACTCCGATGGCGCTTCTGTTGGTTGAATCCAACAAAGGTTCTGAGAGTTTTGAGTGCAAAGGGTACGTTTCGATAGTGAAGATATTAGTGGCCCAGGAATGCGACGTTTCGGTTCGACGTGATTTAATAAGTTCATGTAATCGTCATAATGAAACTTTGAAATTGACACCTGTGACAAATTTGTGCATTGTGTTCACAGAGAGCCATCGACAGACGAGTAACTAATACGGATATCTACCGGCCAAATATGTAAACTCCAACTCTTGACTTGGCTTCATGGAACTGTAATCAGAAATACACATGTTTGACAACGCATCGTACGTCAATCATAGAGGGCGTTCAGATTATTTGTAACGCGAGGAATCAAATGAGTTAGCTGATGCCGATTCGCACCGTCTGGTTACACAGAGTCAAGGCGACGAACCCAGCACGAACAGCTGATATTGAATACCGGTCTGAGCTCAAGCACCGTAATGGCCATATGTCAAAAGTTGTTTCACAACCCGACTGATCACCTCTGTCAAATGTATACCATTAGTTCTGAAGACCGTGTTCAATAATCGCCGAAAGAAGAAGTTCCCTAGAGCTACCGTGCTTATAATCATCAAAGCAACTTAATTGCTAAAACAGATACAGTTTCATGAAATATGGCAGCGAAACTGCGGAAATAAAGTTACAATCAACGGGTTTTACGATGCCGAACACGTGCTGAAGTCAGCATTCACCTGACGTTGCCTGACGAGCATGACAGTCAGAACTTCCAGTACGTGCCGTTTCGCATTGAATGCTACAAGCCGACGACAGAACAGAGTATTTTTCAGCCGCGTCGATGTAAGCCTTTGTTACATCCGAATAGCTTGGTACATAGCAGAGCAGCGGATTTTGTGAAATCAGGTACCTGCAAGAAAGAAACCGTAGATGATGAAAATGTGAGTATCGCACGACTTACTTAAAAACAAGTTCAAACATCAACGGTTCAGAGCAGAACTCGATCAATGTCTCCATGAGTGACAAGGAAATACGGAAGAGCTGAACGAAACAATCAGTTAGTCAGAAAGTAAGCAGCTAGGAGTAACGTCAGCTTTAAAAACAAGACCAGCCTACTGAAGAGTTGGTGGTTTTAATGCGATCGACAAGCAGATCCAAAATGATGCGTTGGTCGTCGCCGTCTACGTCGCTTAAGAGCAGCTTCACTATTGAATCCCTCAGTAGCGGTTCTTTGCTCAAGCGACAGACCAGCTCGAAGTAAGCGGTGACGGCAAATACGTCTTCTTCTGAACTCTAAAAGCATCACAGAAACAGATTATTATCGAAACACTGTTCAGCAACACACGACTCACATCCTGTAGAGCTGCTTTCAGTATGGACGTGAAAAATCCGTCGTAGATAAATGAGATCAGCTGATGATTGATCAATTCATGTGCCACCTGTATGACAGCGTTGCAAAATTCAACAATACAGCAAAATGTACGGAGATTCAAAATGGCGTTGACATCGGTTAGGGTCAGGCTGCTCCAGTCATCGGGAATTACAGAAGACGCATACCTTCTTGGAAGGGCAGAATACAATCCGGCCAGTCCGCTCGCTAGGACCTTCAATTAACGAACATCGGTTAATGAAATAATTGTATCAATTAAAAGCTCATTAAACTATGAATAAATATCTTTCGAAGCAAAAGCTGGCTTTGACTGTGAATATGACCGATGAAATGAAATGTTCGCTTTCCATATTACGGTAAATAATTAATGGAACACTTTATATACCCTAAGATTTCGATCATACTGTTTACATAACTAACTACCTTCTGAACATATACGAAAAAAGTAGCGGCAGAACTGCGATATCATGAATATCGTTGTAGATGTCATAAAAAAACGTCGTAGAGATTTTACTCACAAGGTTTATTCTTCAGATCATGCTCGGTCAGGTTTCAAAGAACCAGTTACTATATATGAATCATGTCAGATACAAACTCTGCGATGATTGGATGCGTCTTGACGCTCCTGTCTCCAGAAACTATTTAAGCAGCACCATTTACCAAAGCTTACTTTTGGGATCTAAACGTACCAGAGGTTGCGAACAGCAGAAGACTTCTGAAGTTAATCAACCAACCACATTACCTTGAACAAGGTCCGAGAGGTACGGGCCGAAAGGTGGGTATTGATCAATCACCTGCTTAACCACATGGTTTGCGCTGCTTACAAATAAACGGTATTTTATGCTGTTTTCAATTATATTAATTATATAATAAATCACATCGATCAAACCATGAATTTTAATAATTTTATGACTCGTGACAGCAGAACAAACTGAAAGACCTTATGAAGTCGGCCTCGAACTCCGGAGGTGATGAGCATGGACGAGACAACATTTGTCTTAAGCACAAATTCTCTTTCGCAAGAAGAATATACTCCAAGTTGCTTCGGTGCAGCCAGCCAATAAAAAAGTTGTCGTGAATGGCTTGCGAAATATAAGGACAGCATGGCATTCTAATGTGTTCATTCCAGAATGGAGGAGGTATACTGCCATGCTGCCCGATTAGAGCGCCCCATGTCGCTGCCTGCACTTCAGCTTGATTTACCCCGATAACTGAATTTCCAGTGTAATAATCAGCTCCAGGTGTAACCCCGATTCTTTCTGTCTTCCAATCAGAGACCGAAATTTCGACCAAACTCGACACAATCCATAATCAGAGTACCAAAAAGAAATACTAAAAACACAGCAGTACATGTAACCCCATCAGATATTGATAAGCAATTTACATATTTACATCTTGTTGTCAATTCTGGTCATTTAAACTGCAAACTTTGCATTAATGTGTTAGACACATTTCCAGTAGGGTACGGAAGCAGCAATAGTTGAATACTTCTAGTTTTGTAATGTCTTCTCAAGGGACTAACCACCATTTAAATGCATACAGAGAACCTGTGGCCTGCACGACGCGCACATACTCTTCTAGGCCAATTTGCCGAAACGTCTGCAGGCTTGCCTAACTGGAAAAGAATTCGTCGCTGCTGAAATACGCTCACCGATTTCATCTATTTACTGGCCGTTTGGCAACGCATTGGAGTCGAGATACTTGCATGGGTCAATATCTTCGACGATGGTTGAATCAATGCAGATTAGCTGTTTATCCGTCTCCCTTTGATATGACCGATAAAAAACTGTTCATGAGGTATCGATATGTGTTCTAATATGCAATGCCAATGCCACCAGATTTA